AACAAAATACCTGAGGCTGGGTAATAAAGAAAAGAGGTTTATTTAGCTCATGGTATTAGAGGCTCAAGAACATGGCATCAACATCTGCTCTGCTCTGGTGAGGGCTCCCTTGGAAGTGTCACAGGRCAGATGGCATCATGGCGGGAATACAGTTGTGTGAGGAAGAGATCACAGGGTAAAACAGGAAGCCAAAGTGCAGGGATGGGCCAGTCTTGGTGTCTCATAACAACTCACTCTCTTGGGAACCAACTGAAGTCCCATAGAGCTACGATCCRGGTTCCCCTCTTTTTGAACTTAGAACAACAGGTGGGTTTTATATAAAAATGCAGCTGCCGGGCCTTTGCCATGGGCATCACTSGCCTGGCGTTCCCACGGGGCTGGACTGCAGAAGCTGCAACCTGGAGATAGGTCTCCTGTTCCCTCTTGTCCAATCTCTAACCCTCATAGGACCTACCCAGCTGCTCCCAGGCAGAGGGCTGCAGGAGAGCCAACCATGCCCAATGATCTCCCACGTGATTTTAGCCACAGCAAAGGTGACATCTGATATTGCCAAGAGGAATACTGTCCTGTCCCTGTCTTGAAATCCACATCTCTCCTGGGCTGTATCATCCCTGTCTAACTCCCCCAGGCCCTCCTGGCAGACCTCCTCCAGGGTCCCCTACTGGCCACGCATCCCCAGGCCTGGGACAGTGCCAGGTACTTGGTAGGCACCTGATGAATGTGCGGACCGACAGATGCCACCTGCTGGGTAGGGGCTTGGGTGTTTCTGGTTCACCCTGGGTTCTCAGGGGTTTGTCCAGCATTAATGGCTGGATCGCATTCTGAGTCCCTGATTGTGTCTCTGTCATGACTCAGCACCTGGGTCCCAGTTCAGAAGGAGGCAGGTCCCTCTCCTCCTCAGAGACGCCCAAGAAGAGACAGTCTACGACTGRGTGCTTGGTTTTAGTGCCCTTCCTCCCCTAACTCTGGAGACGATGCGATCTGTGGAAAGGACCCTGCAAGTACAAGGTGAGGCTCTTGAGGTGGGCAGATGATCCCAGATCACCCAGGGGCCCCAAGTCCCCAGTCGCCTTTGTGAGGGACATTTCCAGCCTCTGYCCTGTCTTTACTGGTTCGAGAGATGCTACAGGGTTCTAGGGTCAGGAAGCCCTTGGTCCACATCCAYCTCTGCCTGTCACCAGCTGTGAGATCCTGGGCAAGTCTTGGAACCTCTGCTCATGTATAACATGTGACAAACAAGAAGATGTGCCCAGAGGGCTTGGTACAGAGTAGATGGCAACACATCAGGGTGATGTCCCCTGCGTGTGGTCCTGCATGGTCTCCTACCAAGTCTGCAAGGACAACCTCTCGGGGCACACTCAGCAAGGCACACAGAGGGTCACTAGCCCTGCAGCAGGGCACACAGAGGGACACTAGCCAGAGGGACACTTCCCRTGCAGCGTCTCCTTCTTCCAGGAAGGAGAGGACAGTGCTAGGACTCGGAGTCTGATTCTCGGCCGTTGAGAGACATCTGGCTGTGACAGGGTCTCACATCCTGAAATGGCCAACTCCCAGAAGGATCAGCCCCACGTGAAGCTTTTGTTCCGCCTTCTCAGGGACCCTCACTGGGACCTGGAATTATGTGTTCCACGTCAAAGCAAAGAGGACCCTGTGTGTCAGCTTCAGGGATCAATTTCTGAGTTAGCACTCCCCCCTTCCATGGGTGTTCATCTCAAGTCCCCAGCCGCCTTTGTGAGTGACATTTCTAGCCTCGGCCCTGTCTTTACTGGTTAGAGAGATGCTACAGTATTAATCGATTTCAAGGTTTCTGAACAAATAGCCATACATGTTTAAGCCCCTGCTCTGCCTATTAAGGGAAATGCCGTCTATGATAATTATGCTGCCTCTGCCTGACAGGAAGATTTTCACAGGAGACAGAATGACAGTAACCTCTGAGAAAATCCTGAAACCTTGGACCTGTTCGGTCTTTCCCGATACCACAGGTATTCCTGAGGCCAAATGCATCAACTTCCTGAATGCAACCAGGAAAAAAGGCCAGCAAAGCAGACAAGACCTGAAGTCACATTGCTCTGTCCCAACTGAGCGGCCCGTGGGCTCAGTAAAGTCATCGGGACCGAGACCCAGCTGTGCATGCTGATGTCTGCAGAGTGCCACCTCTGCCACACCCGAGGGCAGCCGGATGTGCTTCTGGATCCCTGAAGGCAAACTGCATGGCACAGGAAGCTTCCAGAAGGCRGTCTGCATACTTCATGGCTCAGTAGTCACTGAGCAGGAAGGCGGATGATGGTGTTTCTTACCATTGGGGGCTCACATGAGTCACTGCGGCCTCAGTCACCTCAGCTGAAACAGTGGCCCCATGGGAACTCCCTGGTGGGGTTTGTTAGGAAGAATAAGYGAGGGAAAGCATCTGTGGCACCTGGTACACAGCAAGCACTCAATAAACGGTGATCACCCCATTTATTACTGGGCGTAAAGAGAAGAGAGGAAGGAAGGCATCGGGAGAGAGAGCAGGCTGTTCCTTGAGTATGAAGAGGCCCCAAGTTCCCCAGATCTGCCCAAAGTGTGATTAAGGTTGAATGACGTCCCCGTCCTCGTCCCCAAGACCTGTCACGTCACCTTTCATAGTAAGAAGGACTCTGCAGGTACAGGGTGAGGCTCTTGAGGTGGGAAGATGATCCCAGATCACCCAGGGGCCCAGCAGAACCAAACGTCCTTGTTAGAGAAGAGGGAAGCTGGGGGTTGGAGCTGGAGAAGACGGAGAGGGGCCAGAAGATGCCAGGAGGCAGGGGACGTGGGAGAAGGCACCCTGAGAAGGAAAGAGGCGGCCTCTAGCTTTGGGGGGAGGCCAGGAAACAGGTTCTTCCTGGAAGCTTCCAGAGGAACGGCTCTGCCAACAACTTGACTCTAACTCAGAGAGACTGATTCTGACCTCCAGGGCTCTGTGTTCCCCCTGTGTTCCGAGCTGCTGACCTGTGGCTGTTTGATGCAGTAGCAACAGGAAGTTCATACACAGGAAGGACACTGAGCAGCAAAGACCAGCCGTTCAAATGGGTGAATCTTAACTCTGCGGAAAGGGGACCCTGTCAACCCTGGCGCCGTCACGCAGGAAGCTGACCGTGTGATCGGCAGACCTGGCCTTACTGGAGACGAGGTTCAAAGTCACCTTCACTCCTGGAAATGCTGCCATCCTCTGTCACCAATCTATATGGCATCTGGTGGGTTGTTCCCTGGTGCTCAGCACCTGTCAGTCAGTAGGAGGCTTCGGAATCCCCACTACATCCAGAGTAGTTTTTATTGTACCATCAATTTGTCACATTGAAAAATGTGACTATTTAAGTTCAAGTTATGCCTGAGGTACCAATGAGTGAGCTTCTGAGGGGAAACCTCCAATAACTTATATGTCAAGATGACATGTCGCCCAAGGCCATGTCATCAGAACTTGATTTCCCAAGTGCAGTCTGTTTGAATGTGGTCTAAGAAAATAACAAACAAAAAAGCCCTTAAGAGAAGAATAAAACTCAGTTTTCTTTCTGAAACAGTGACCGCCATTGCAGTCATATTAGGTACAAATAACAAGGGTCTACTAGGTGCCAAATGTTGCACGAGGCCTGTTAGTCCTTGTAGCAGTTCTTAGCAGGAATGTGCCATTATCCCTAACTCACCACTGAAGAAAGGCAGGTGCGGGGGGCTAAGAGACTAGCCTGAGTTCCCACGGTCCACAGACAAGAGCAGATTGAAGCTCACAGAGGTCTGACTCGGGGCTTGTCTTTCCSGGTATTCCCTCTTGGTCTGAGACAAGTGCATGGGCCACTATGATGGACAGATGTGAGATCCACGGCCCACAGCCATTAGGGGGGCTCTATGAAGACCTCGGGTTGGTCCGACTTTGCACCAGTTTCTGTTATGGTCTGGATATGAGGTGTCCCCCCAMAGCTCACGTGTGAGACAGTGCAAGACGGTTTAGAGGAGAAATGATTGTATTGTGAGAGTCTTAACGCAATCAGTGAATTAATCCCCTGATAGGGATTAACTGAGTGGTCACTGAAGGGGGAGGGTGTGGCCGAGGTGGGAACTGGGGGCGTGGCTCTGGGGTATATATATTTGGTATCTGGAGAGTGGAGTCTCTCTCCTTTCTGATCATGATGTGAGCTGCTTCCCTCCACCTCTCTCTTCCGCCATGTTGTTCAGCCTTACCTCGAGCCCCAAGGAATGGAGCTGGCCTTCTGTGGATCAAGACCTCCAAAACCGTGAGCCCTTAAATAAACTTTTCTTCCTCTACAGTTGTTCTGGTTGGGTCCTTTTAGTCACAGAGGCAAAAAAAGCTGACAGAGACACTTTCCATCAGGCTGGGGCGCAGGTGGGGAAAGGATGCTGCATCTGCAGGGCTGTGTGAGGACAGGAGTGGCCTTCATGTTGACCCAGGGTCACACACMATTCTATCACTGGCACACAGGAAGCTTCCCAAGATAGGAAGAGGATTGCTCAGTACGTGTTCTACCAAAGACACAGCAGTACAGCCCACTGCTGGGAGGATTCAAACCGTGGAACCATTTAGCTTTCAACAAACCCAGAGGTTCTTCCTAAATCAGACACTGAACATCAAGTGGCACGGAGCACGCATTCCTCAGAGGTTGCTAAAGCAGCCCTTATTGCCACCACCTTGCAAMCCAGCTTTTCCGGGAGTGCTTCACAGGCCGCTCTGCCACCCATCAGAGACTCTTAAATCACCTTGGCCACGGTCACATGAGAAATGCAGTTTACCCTGCAGCTGGCCCACAYGCACACCTAACACAAACCAAGGTTTCACGAAACAAGACGAGCCCTACTATGTGCAGTGAGCTCTCCCATTTCCTCTTCCTACGTTCGTCTATTGTTCAGTCTATCTGGTGGCCATGACCCACACACGGACCTAGGTGATTCACGAATGAGCCCATATTCCCATGGGGGTTGTGTTTGCCATTTCATTTCCTGTCTATAATGGAAGAACTGGGGATCCCTACCTCCGGGGCGATGTAATCTGGAGTCCCACAGAAGGTCCTGGTCGTGACTCCATCCATCATGTGTTCTTTGCACATCCCAAAGTCAGCGATTTTGATATGTCCTTCGGAATCCAGCATGACATTGTCTAACTTCAGGTCCCTGCAAAGAAGCAGGACAACATCAGAGTCCTTCCCATGACAGCTCAGGGTGTGCTTTGGAGCTGGTGAAACAGAAGGAGRCTTAACTAGTTGCCATCTCAGTGGCATTTAAACTGTACATCCCTRGGGACCAGGGGCCAGGAGTTCTTGGGTCTTTATATCTCCAGAGCCTCACACAGAGTCTGGGATATGGTGGGAATTGGCACATTGAGTGGTTGTTCCTAGGAATCCAGACAATCCAGTTTATGAGGTCTGAGGAGATCCCACTCATTTGACTTATTATCGTGCACAAGGTAGGGTGGGGTGGGGCTGAAACACAGCTGGGTTTGAGAAATTATGAGTTTCAAACCACCTCACACCCTTCCTCCTGCTGGTACCAATGTCCTTTAGGTACTCTTCAGTCAATACTGGAAGACATTCTCTCTCTGGTGCCCCACTTGGACTGCAGATAATGAACAAAGGAATTTGACTCAGCAGCTCCCCCTTGCTTCTCCCCAGCTCCCCGTGTTCATTTCCTGCTGAGTATCTATAGTGGCTATTCTCTGTCCATCGCTCTGACCTCCATTCCAAACAAAAGACAGAGGAAGGAGCTGTCAGGAGAGAAAACCATGTTTTCTTATGGAAAGTAACAATGAGATGTAAAATCTTTCAGGTCTAAGATCAGAAGTGACTCTGGTTTGCCTCAAGGTTGCAGGGACAGGTAGTCCCAGCAGATCCGTGTTCCCTGGGGGTCACCCACRCCATGCCATGCCCAGAGTCCCCATCACAGAATGACATGCCCAGGGAGGCCCAGCAAACCTCTCCACTGTGCTGCCGCTGGAAGGCCTTCAGATACACACCTATAAATGATGCCTCTTTTATGAAGAAAGAACAATCCAATGGAAATCTCTGCTGCATAGAATCTGCAAAAGAAAATGGTTCGGGTTTCTGCCTGGCTTCTTAAGACTTCTGTATCTTCCRGAGTCTCACATTCAGGCATCAGAGATAAAAAGAGTGTAAGACCTTAGGCTTCCCAAGATCACATCATCCAACCGTCAGCCCCTTTCTCTGCCATCTCGTCACTCTGGCTCACCCGTGTCAATGAGACAGGCTTATTTTTCTTCACTGGGGAAGGTGGTTAGGGAATTTGCTGTCGACAAAATACTTTCTAATATAATAATTTAAAGAGTGGCTACCTGTTAGACTATTCCATGTCAGGACACATGGCAGAGTAGAGTAAATTTCCATTCTCCTATTCATGGGCAGAATGCACTGGTGTTTGAACATACACTTACTCCCTGGATGACAAATGCAGCCGTGATGAACTCGAGCTAGWTCATTCATTCCCTGAAGTGCTGGGATAAATGGGACATACACCATGATTCATACCTGAGTCTGCCCTTTTAAATAATTCATAATAAGAGCAGCTACTACCATCCCTTCCAAATCATTTGTAGGTTAATATCTGAAAATCTGAGAAAATGTAGAGGGATGTTTTAAAATTCGCATAGCATTTAAGAGTCTTTGAAGTTTGAAGAACCACAAGTTTGCGCCTGGGCATATATCACACCCGGGAGACCTAAAGTAAACACATACTGTTTACAAGAGCAGAGAAGTGAAATCCCTGATGGTGAATGCTATGCTTTGAATGGGGGACCGTCTCTGAGGCTGACAGAAGAGATAGGGTTATGGCTGATTTTTACAATTTTCGTGGGGTTTTTCCCCCGTAATTAAAAAAAAAACTTTTCTGTAATACACATACATCAAAAGAGGATTGGGCAAGGCATGTTTATGTTGTTTTATGACCCAAGGTGCCCTCTTGTTATCCCAGCTGAGGCAGAGGATGACAAGTGCCAGGCCAGCCTAGGCAATTTAGTGAGTCTCAAAGAGTAAAAAGGGCTTGGATGTTGCACAATGGTACAGAGCCCCTGGATTCAATCCCCAGTCCGGGGGTGCGGAGGTGGGGGGGGGGAGGGAAGAGAAGAAAATAAAGTGGCTATCTGCTCTTACAGCTCTGTGCTCTAAAGCTTTATTCTGCAATCTGAGCATTTTAATGCTCTATAACTCACAATGTTAAGAGAGGAGATAAGGCAGGCATTTCTAAAACACATTTAAGAACAAATAAAAGCAGGAAAAAAAAATCCCCTTTATATTTTTAAAGCTTGCTACCAAAGAATTCCCTATTGTGCCTTCAGTTAATCTCTCCTAGGGCAGATAATCCCGCACAGGCCAAATATTGCTCTGATTTATCTTTTTAGATGAACAGTGGCCGGACTCCTGTTCATGTGGGCTAACTTGATTAGTGGGGTGTACATCTAATTTGGGGAAATAAAAYAGCCATTTGCTTAGGTTTGCTTCTGTTGAGCTTCCAGGGACTTCCTGGCCCCTGAGAAATGGGACAGTRTTCCAGGTATCAAAGTCCCTCCTCCAACCCATGATGACTCCTCCATCCCCACACAGAGCCCGCGGCTCCGCTCCTGCATCCCAGCCTCCAAGGCGCATCCCACAGGAACACTCCAAGCTGAGTTGCGTTCCTTCCTTGCAAACCGCATCCTGCCCTCACCCAAGCCTAAGCTGGGACGTGACAGACAAACGTCTCTGTCACTGAATTCTGCTTTTCTTCCTCCAGAACGTTTGTCAAGGACACTTGCCTCTCTGTGGCTCCAAGCTGAAGCCCTAATTCTAGCTCCATTTCTTCTGCTTAAAAAGATTCCGACTGAGCCCTTTGTACCAGCCCCTGCATTCCTCCTGCCCAATCCCACTCCTCTCTTCAGCCAGAGGGTGCTGTGAGAACTTGGTCTCATGGGGTCGAGTCCCAGTGAAGCCCCTCCCCTCTGTCCTCTTTCTCAGCCCCCCTCCCTGCCTGTGCCCTCTCCCAGCTCACACCACCTGCTGAGCCACAGGCCTGGACTTGGTCTCTCCTCTGTCYACATCCTCTTCCTGGCCTGCCTGTCTCTGGGTTGGGCATGACCTGAAGACTTGCTACTCTCAATCCCCAATTCTGGGGGCTTGGGTGGTGTTCTGGGCATTTCCCTACAGTTGGAGCCATGCATTATAATTTTCTGTGACTTCTCAAAGGCCAGGTTAGAGCACTAGCTTCCCAGGGAGGAGGAACCTCATCCTCACATGTCGAGTGCCTGGTGCACCGTGAGTGTGCAATACTCATTCGCTCAATGAGCAGTGAGGGACTCTACCCCTCAGGGTGGCACAGGGTGGCGTGGGTATGCACCAGCATCTCCAATTTACTGGCAACAGAATAAACAGCTCCTGTGGAAACATCTAGAAGGGACCTGTTAACACATCTATTCCCTTGGGAAGTTTCCCAWATGAGCAGGGCCATCTTGGACATCCAATCTAGTAGAAGTTCCCAGTTGACAGTACTGGGCCACCTGAATTACAGGACTGAAAAAAAAAAAATACTCACACTGCTTGTGGCTCCTTAAATTTTCCTACTTGCTGAATGTGGTACATGAGGTCCCCGCCATTGACGTACTCCATGACAAAGTACAGCCGATCCTGCAGACAAAGGTGTACACGTGAGCAGGGATCCTTCCCCATAGGTAGCCCGGTTTGCATCCTCATTAGTCAAACTTGGGCTGTGCTGGCAGATCTGCTCAGTTTGAAGCCCTTCACATTTTTTTTTTTTCCCAGCTAAAGAATAAATGATATACCCTCCTGCAYAAGGGCCTTGGGATGGACGCTCATTACATAACTCTGAACTAATGGCTGTCTGCCTCCTGGTTCCATACATTCCTCATTACAGTAACGGCCTCAAACATTCTTCCTTTTTTTCCTACATGCATAATATATTTCTCAGCCAGGCGCACTGTGAGGAATCCACATGGGCCAATCAGTTCATTCCCACCAATGTTTCTTGATGATGCAAGTGTGTAAAACTTGGTTTGCAAYGTCAAGGAGGGTGGCATGCTGCTGTGGTAATGTGCTCAAATGGATCTTCTGAAAACTCACCCTTTGGGTTAGGCTGGGCTTCTAAATTGTACCTGCTTAATGACATCTGTCAGGTAGGGGAGAGGGAGGACCATAACAGGAGAGGTTAATCCAATGTTCTTTGGTAACCTCTAGGTCCCCAAATCCTGTATTTTCATTTTCTCTGTTACTGGTATATGAGGTGCTGGCCACACGCAGGGCATTCATCATACAACCAGAGAAGTGTGCATATTTATGAGGACATTATGCTGGGCCAGATGGGAGAGGCTGAGCAGCTAACATCTCAACACACGGAGGTAAAAGCTGACCTCTGCTCTCTGCTAGAGAACATCCCCTTTTCACAGAGGTTATTAAACATTAAAGTGCTGCCCAGGGAGAAAAGGCAGCACAGTGAAGCCGGTGCTAAGAGCCAGGAAACGGCTCGGGGAGCATCACTCTCTGGCTCTTCAGTTAGAAACTTCAATTTCGGCTTCGTGTCTTTGCTTCGTAGCTTTCTGGAGCTTAATTGGTGTGAGCGGGGTGACGGCAGCTGGGCTGGGAGTTAGGGGTTTGCTTCTCTTCCCACCTTGATGCTCAGCCCTCCTTGCCACTCCTGGGGCGGGGAGTCTGGGCGCTGCTGAGAGCAGGCAGGAGCCCGGGGTGTGGCCAGAGCACAGCTGACACACAGTGGCTGGCGCCCAGCTCTGCAGCCTTGGAGCGCTGACACGGTGTGGCTCTGTGGCCATCTTGAGATTCTACAGGCCCAAAGCATGGGGTTTTTAAAGACAGACATAAGACACCAAGTCAATTTCTGACCATGGTGCGGTTGGAAATAGTAACTGTCCCAACCATAATGATCACTGACCATTGAGCCATATTTAAAGGGAAAGCCCACCTGGTGCCGTCTAAATGTCTCGGTTTCTTATAGGACAATTGCCAACCCCACAGCTGAAAGATCAATGCTTTGGGATTCTGCCCACCCCTTCCAAAACGTTTTGCTCTATGATAGGGGTTAGTAGACTTTTTCCATAAAAGGTCAGACGATAAGTATTTCAGGCTTTGTGAAATACTTGTAACTAACTACTCAGCTCCAATGTCTTAGCATGAAAGCAGCCACAGGGGACAGGTAAGTGACTGAGTGGGGCTGTGTCCCTAGAAAACGATTTATGCATGCTGGAATATAAATTTCATCTAATTTCCACATATCATAAATACTGTGTTTGGATTTCTTTTTTGTGACCTTTCTTACAGCTCAGGGGACATACAAGGCTGGTCCTAGTTTTCCACTCTTGTTGAGTGTCTGAAACAAACACTCATTTTTATAAAATGGCATTTCCTGAGGTCCCAATGCCATGCGTGGCAGCTGGACAAGTTGTCCGTCTAGAGGTAGGACTGTGAATTAATTCTTAACTTTTTTGAACCCCATAAATCTTAGCATAGTGCCTGACATGAGGAAACCTTTCATATACAGCCACCCCTCTGTACCTGTGGGGGACCAGCTCCAGGATCCCTCCCACCCCCAGGACACCTGAATCCTTGGATACTCGTCAGCATATAACCCAGGGAGTCCCCCCACAGGCTCTCATCCTCTCTATGCACTTATAGTCCTGAACACAACACAAACGCTGGGTGAAGAGCTGCTGGGTGGCATTGCTTAGGATCTAATGCCAGGGAGAGTGGCTGTACATCAGATGCAATTTAAAAAGTATCTTCCATCTGGTTGGTGGAACCCATGAAGGATGCAGAGCCCCAGGAAGGAGAGGCCCACTGTAAATGTTTGCTGAATTAAATGGAATGAGTGCCACGTCTCCAAGCAGAGGACATCACAGAGGGGGATGACCCAAATCTGCCATTGCCAGGGGGGTGGGACCTGTCCCTGTCCCCTGGGCTTGGCATTCCATCCTGTCTCTCCCAGGGTTGTTGAGGGCAGGTGGGCACCAGGCCTCGAGACGCAGCCCCGGGGCCTTACCACCGTCTGGAAGCAGGAGTGCAGCTGCGTCAGGAATGGGGGCTTGTCAAGCAGGGCCAGGACCCGCTTCTCCACCATGGTGCACTCCACGTCGTCGTCCTGAATCACCACATCCTTCTTCAGGATTTTGATGGCATACAGTTCTTCTGTTCCCTTCCTGTCAGCAAGCATCACCTGGGAACAGACCCAGAGCAACCTGAACACGGGAGGAACTGGGCCAGCTGCAGGTTTGAACCGTGGGATAGGAAACTGCTTAGCTAATTTTGCTACATGTTGCAGTGTCCCCTAAAGGTCCCGTGTAAAGGCTTTTGGTCCCCAGGGTGATGCTTTTGGGAAGCGGTGGAACCTTCAGGAAGGTGGGGCCCTTGTGGAAGTACTAGGGTTTTGGGGGAATGTCATGCCCTTGAAGGGATCTGTGAGACTCCAGTTTCTTGATTTTTTTTTCTCTTAGTTTCCTGGCTGACAAGGCAAGGAGACTGCCCCACCATGAAGTGCTGCCTCACCAGAGACCAAAGCAACGGGGCCACTCAATCATGGACCAGAACCATGAGCTAAAAATAAACCTTTTCTCTTTATCAGTGAATTGACTCAAGCATCTCATTATACTGATGAAAAACGAACACCAACTTTACATACAAATTTGGAAATGTTGTGCATCACCACAAATTAGATTCTTCCAGAACTTGTATGACTTCTAAATGATTGAGATTTGCACTGCATACCTATTGTCACCCGGGGTTTGCTATTTTGGTTGTTAAAAGGAATATTCACATTCTCTATGAGGATTAGTCTGAATTCATGCAAGTTTTCAGAAACATCCTTAGGGTACATGCGATGGACCTCCATAATGTCACACGCCTGGAACTCAAAAAGGCAGGATGGAAATCAGTTCCTGGAGCGGTCGTGAGTCTTAGGACCACTGAGACCCAGTGAAGGACTGCTCCACCACCCCATATGACCCCACATTTAATTTTCAGTTGTGCAAATTATTCAACTAACATTTTGGAACATCCTCTCTGTTCTGAACAGGTGACACATGAGAACCTGCTGTCAGTGCTCTGGATACAGTTGTTTTTAATCATAAGAAGTAGGAAGCCTTTGAGGAACGTGTACAAAAACCCAGGGAGGTCTAAAGGGCTATTCTTGAAACTTCAGGGAGAACAAAACCAACCCACCACTCTCTACCCAAGCCCCTCCACTTCTTACCTTCCCAAAACTCCCCTTCCCCAGCACCATGAGGAAATTGAAGTCGGTGAGCTTCACTCTGTCGAGGTTGTTGGAAGGTTGTTTTCTGTCTTCAGAAGGACTGATCACTTTGTTACCTGCAGGGCCAAGCTTGGCTTTCTAAACAACAAGCACAGACATGAAAGGCCATTGGTCATTTTTCCAAGGAAAGAGTGACAGAAAACAGCACCTGGGTTCCAAGTTTGATGCCAGTTGGAAGGTGGGAGGTGGGAAGGGGAGAAAAAAGAGTGTGAGAGCCGGATGCAGCTCCTACAGCAGGGGCTGTGCTCCCCAAGGGCAGGTCTGCAAAGAGGCGGAAGGTTGCCYTTCCCTGTCTCAACTCCACACCTGGTTAACCCAGGAATCAGGCAAGGGCACGTCAGTTCTAATTCTGGGATGTAAAAGCCAGCTTTGGGGAGTGGCTGGGGTGGTAGCTCAGCAGTAGAACTAGTACCCGTGGAGCCCTGGATTCGATCCTCAGCACCACATACAARTAAAATAAAGGTAGTGTGTCCACCTACAACTAAAAAACATTAAAAAAAAAGTCAGCTTTGGGGAAAAATGGTACATTATCACTATTGATACATAAAGGAAATAAACTATGGCTGATGTTTTCATCATTTGTAGATTTTCTGATTTAAAGTTCTTCTGCATAAAGGAAATTTGTACCYAGGCAAAGAGGGAGAAGAAAGCCCTTTGGAGAGGAATGATGATGTAAGTGGCAAGGTGCGGGGAYGAGTTATTGCTACTTTCAAAGGCCCAGCAAGGGGAGCAGGCTTTCTGTTTGAGTTTTAAAAGTTAAGAGTCAAACTCATAAAAAGAAATGGGGTGTGCATGGGAACCTGGTTTCACATAAAACCGTGCTCTTYAGGTTCCGGAAGCGTGGTAAGTGATACTTGAGCGATGGAAGGAGGTCTAGGCACTAGGTTCCTCATGTGACGGCGCTGGTGGGGCCACACTCACTACTCTCATGGAGAGTCCCCATGTCCACGGGGAACAGCAGGAGGGCTCAGAAGAAAAGGGGAGATGAGTGGGATCCTGTGGGCRTGAACATCCTAACAGTCAGCAAGGCTCAGTGGTGCATGYCCCTAATCCCAGTGGCTCGGGAGGCTGAGGCAGGAGGATCACACGTTCAAAGCATGGCTCAGTAACTTAGGCCCTAAGCAACTTAGTGAGACTCTGTCTCTAAATAAAAAATGTAAGGGCTGAGGATGTGGCTCCGTGGGTAAGGGCCCCTGGGTTCAATCCCTGATATCAAAAAGAAAAAAAAKAAAAAGATGGCAAAGAAGATATAAAARCATTTGAGAAGGGCTTTACTATGGACCAATGTATCGGAAAGACTGGTCCTTAGCTCTAGGGGAAAATGGGATTTGCAGTTTTCTTCTTTGACAGCAGAGAAGGCTTAGGAATCATCCACACTCCCTCTTTGAGAACCAGCCTCCCTTGCTGCACAATTAGAGTGAGCCACCCTGCACCGGAGCCTTTGCCTTAGCAGAGTGAGCCCCCTCAGCAGTCTCTGGGTTCCTGTCCCTAATGCTGTGCTTTGCACAGAATATGCACCCAACACTTGGGTTGAATGAATGAGAAATGTCATTGAATGGTAGAGAAATGTCAATGTCTCTACCAGGTGCTATGTTACGGGGTGATGCTCTTCCCCATAGAAGCAACTCATTGTACAGGATGGAATCTCACAGCTCGAGTACGTGCTCTTAAGAACTGAGCACACGCACTGAAGATGAGGGAGAGGTGGTCCTGGYGTTTTTGCTTCAAGCCTAAAGGTATTGAATATGATTGTGCTCGTCGGCAAGTTCAAACTTTCCCCCTGTTTGGGTAGCGGAGTCTGCTGTGCAATAGTAAACTGGCAATAGATCGACAGAAGCAGCAGATGCATTCATTTAAAGTGCACAGGTGCTAAACAAAATATGAAACTCAAAGAGGGGTCAGATGGCTGAGGCTGAAATACTCTCATCACAGGAGAGAGGGAAGTGGAGGGGGATCCGACAGGGGGGAGAAAGAATTTTCAGGGGAGAGAACGAGCCTGGGAACAATCAATGGTCTGGGACAAAGTTCCTCTGGGCTCTGAGTGTGGTGTCTGATTTTCAGTCTCTTCCTGTGCAGTCAGAGGACAATCTTTATACAGAAAAGCAGATGTGATCAGGTAGGTCTTGCCCATCAGGCCTGCGCTCCGTAGGCTTTGGGATGCCCACGTATAACCTCAACTCTGAGATTCCTAGGGAGTGGAACACCTGTAAGATTGGAAGTCAACTGTGTTCCTTTCTGGCAAATCTGGTCTTTRRGCAGATARGGGAACTTCAGAGAAAGSCCCTCCCTGCAGCTGTGCTCCCCAAGAGCTCTCAGTTTGAAGTCTGAAGCAGCATATTTTGGGGTAYTGTTTTCTGAGCCCATGTGCTCTRCCTCTATTGGGAGTTCACAGAGGGAAACAGGTGTGGACTTGGGGCCACTGGAAACCTGACGGGCTGTGACGATAAAACACCAACCACAGTGGCACATCACGGTGTCTCCCTTTGGCCGAGGGTGGAAGGAATTTTAAGGTAGATTTGTGAGAAGGAGCCAGAAATTCATGATCAAGTTCCAYTGGGGACCCCTCAACTGTGGGACCAGCCCAGGCCTCCAGACATCTGCCCATCATGATCACAAGTGGAGAAACTTCCTGGTCTGTGTCTAAATTTGAAAGAATCATTAGGAAGTCTACGTGTGAGACAAGAATACCRCCCATGCCACTCTTTTGCTCTTCTGATTTAGGAAAAAAAAAAATGTCATGAGAAAGAGGCACAAAGATCAATTTTATCTTCTCAGGAACTTCATAAAGAACATCTAAAAAAAAACCCAAAACACCAAAAAACCCAACCATGGTTATGATTCATGGATCTGAGGTGCTTGACACACTTCAGAACATTTTCATCTGGGGAAGCTGCTATTCATAGTCCTAGGTGGATGCCAACTTCCACCTAGTTAGGGTTGGATGGGAGGTGTCCCCAACAGCTCATGTGGGAGACAATGCAAGAATGTTTAGAGGTGAAATGATTGGGTTATAAGAGGTTTAACCTAATCAGTGCATTTATCCTGATAGGGATTAACTTGGTGGTAACTATAGGCAGTTAGGATATGGCTGGAGGAGGTGGTTCCTGGGGCGTATATTCCCTGTCTCTCTCTCTCTACACACACACACACACACACACACACACACACACACACTCTTCCTCCATGATGTTCTGCCTCACCTTGAGCCCTAAGGAATGGAGCTGGCCTTCTGTGGACTGAGTCCTCTGAAACTGTGAGCCCCCAAATAAACCTTTCCTCCTCCAATTGTTCTGTCAGGTCTTTTGGTCACAGCAGTGAAAATCTGAAACACTCCTGCAGGGTGGGGCTCTAGCCAGCTGCTCCTGACTCACAGGTGTTCCTAAACAGCCAAGCAGTCATGGAATATTGGCTGATGCAGGTGACGGGCCTCCGGATTAGATATGGGGCCTTGTTGGGCCATGACACAATGGCTTCATGAGTTTTGTGCTGTGACCTTAGTYTATTTACAGAGACAAGATATTGCCCACAGTTAGGCTGAAGGGAGGCAGAGACAAAAACATTTTTTGCATTCCAAATTCTGAGCCTAACTGCAATAAGATCTTGGACTCAGTCTGAAAAGCCTGAAAAGCCATGAATTTTGGAGAAACCACCACAAAGGAGACTCTTGATCCCAGGAGTGGAATCTCAACAGGACAGAAGGAGGTCCTAAAGGGCACATTCCACTGTCCTTTCTTTTTGGCCAGAAGCAGTATTGAATTTTCTATGGCTGGCAGAGTAGGTGGTTGGTTGGGAAAGAGAGAGGCCGGCATGTGGGGCCCAGAGCAGGCCAGGGTAGCCACACTAGCCACATTCATGCCCGAGGGCTGGCTTCTCAGTAGTTTGACCCAGAGGGTGAGAGTAGATTTCTCCCCACCCTGGGCCAGCCCTGAGATAACAGCAGCATCTTCATAYAGCTGTCCCCCATCCAGAGTGGACATTCACCAGTAGAGCACCCTGAGCTGCTCCACACTGCCACCTGCAGGCCGTGCTGTTGAAGGCCATGTAGCCACCAGATACTGAATCTTTGCAACAACTCTTCTGCTATGGTGGTCTGGGCCTGGCTTTGGGTAAGCCCTACTCCCAATCTGGGTCCAACAGACAATGAGATAGGAGGAGACCATCAGCAGATACCTAATAGCTGTCATGGCAAGGGGAAAGGTTGGGGCCCACCATGCAGGACTCCCAGGCAGGTCACAGACCAGGGCTACAGCCCAGATGCTGTGGACTGTCTTGACTTCCAGTCCACGGGCAGCACCTCCTTTGCCTGGGCCATTGATTCTGTTTCCCCTGCCCCTGCCTGGCTGCCTTCTCCCTGTCCCTCAGGGTCCAGCTCAACCTCATCCCTCAGGGTCCAGCTCAACTGCCATTTCTCCAGGAAACCTGTTCCCTGAAGACAGCCTGGGACTCTCCCTTGTGGTTCCCCGGGCTTTTCCCCAGTAGCACGAGGCACCTGGTAAATCTTTGTGGGTGCACTTGTTCAACACCTCTTGCAATCACCCTCGGTCATGCCCAGGCTTCCTTCAGATCACACCCACAGTCCCCCTCTCCTCATGGTCCCATCTCCATGCACTGTGGCACTGGCCACTTGGCTGGCCTCCCTGTGTCCACCCTGCCCTGCAGGCTGTTCACTGRAGGCATCCTGCTAAGGGGTCAGGCAGGTCTGTCCTGTTCTGGTTTCATTGGCTTCCTATATATGACAGAGGGACAGAGCCCCAGTCCTTCAGGATGGTAGGAGGAAATGGCTTTCCACTCTGCCTGATTCCCATCACTCCTCAGCCTCTCTCCTAGCCATACCACCTCCATGAYGTTCCTCATTCTGCCTTGGTCTTGGCCTGCCTTTCTCCCTACTAAAAGCTCAAAGCCACCAGTTCAGGGTGGYCACTGGCTGACTCTCTCCCTGCTCCATCACCTCCTGCTCCCTCCTGCTTCCCCTTTCTTCCTAGGCTTGTCACCACYGACTGCCTCAGTCCTCATCTGAGAGGTTTAGTTCATCCCCCAAATCCAGCCCAGGGGCCTACCCTGTGGCAGATGCTGTGCCC